AGAGACAAGTGCCCAAAAAAAAAACAACAAATAACAATTGTAAACCGCTTTGAGACTCAGATCTGCAGTGAAAAGGCGGTATATAAATAATTACTTACTTACTTACTTACTTACTCCGAGGGCTCAAATGTTACTACTGCACATGTGGTTAGCATGTTGTTAGCATGTTGTTAGCATGAGGCTCTGGGCTAAAAGTGGCTAAAGTGACAGTGGACTATTGCACATTATTGCTCAGGTGCAATGGCATGCGAGGCCAGATCAGCTGTGTTCATCAGTCTTCATTGTTTGTTGTGCAGTCTGACAGCAGCAGGGAGAGGAAACACCTGTGAAACCTGTCCTTCACACTGCGAGGGTGGATCAGTCTGTCGCTGCTGCTGCTCTCTGTGGGGGGCAGCAATAACGCTCCAGCTCTGGGTTATACCACTTCACTAAATCTATTTTCACTACTGGATTTAGTAGACAATCGATTCAAAATTCTACATTCAAAAAACCTTTATTGACAATCTGAGACACAAAACAAATGTCAGGTTTGTAGATGTGGAGTCATGAGTTTGCAATAATACAAGGAAATGTCCATACACTGAGAAATGACACTTTTAACACTGAAAGCCGTCAAATTGACTGCTCCGAGACTCCTAATGTTACAGTAAAGTTCAGTAGAGTTCTTGGGCTTTAACCTTTAGACGGGATTTCACAATTAATCTGATAAAACTCATCTCAACAGATCTCCAACAACTGCTACAAATGAGTAAAGTTTGAGTTTTTTGTTATTAGATTAGATTAGATTAGGATAGATCAGGAGTCTCCAACCTTTTTCAATCGGAGAGCTACTTTAATACAACAGAGGCAGAGAGCTACTCCTTTTTGCGGTCATCATAAAAATCTAAATCCTTTGGGGAGCTACCTGAAAGAGGCTGGAGAGCTACTGGTTGGAGATCAACATCCATCCAAATCTACACTGTAAATCCTTTTAAAAGTTATTAACAATGGTAATAAACTTTTATCTACAGTTTTTGTTATGGTTTTATAGTTAGGTTAAACTATGTAAGTATTTGTTGTGATAGTGACTTTGTAAAGTAGATCTGTTTCTGCTTCTGAGGCCAGAGCTGCAGCAGAGCGTTAGAGACGCGCAAACCTCGTGAAACCGACGCAGCAGCTGTATTTTAGATTCATGAGCGAAACTCTGAAGCCACAGCCGCCCCCTGCTCTCAGCACCACCACTGTATCCGACCACATTCTGCAACGTACAACACATACACAAAGAAATCGCGTTCTCTTGGAGGTTAGAGATGTCGAATTAAAGCAGGGGTCTCAAACTCGAGCCTAAGATGGAGTCTGGGTGAAGCTGGGCCACATTAACAGTTGAGAAAGTTAAAAATTGTACAGGTAGAACCAATGGATTGTTTGTTATAATCATGGAGGTATTTGGACCAATTGATTACTTTTATTCAATACTAGTTTAGATGTATATATATTGCTTATTTCATATATTTCTATGAACAAAATGAGTACAGCCGCATGAATGAGAGCAATCCTTACACGGCTCATATCTGGTTTTACAAAGACGACGTCAAAAAGAATTGTGGGTCTTCCCCTGGTCTTCTGAGGCATTGTAGATCAGTTATGTCTACAGTTCTCCAGCGGAACAAAGGAAAGTGGCTCTAGCTAGCTTATGTTCAAATCGGCTTCTTCCACATTGGCTTTTGCATTTGGCAGGATATCAAAAATCTCATCACAATATTGTTCGATGTAATATCCGGTCTTGTTCTTCCCGGCTGCTTTTCAGACTGTACAATGAACACTGCCGGCCGTAGCTCACATGTCGTGCATCTGTGCAATGATTTGAACTATTGTCTGAAATAGAACCATGTGTCGCAGATACATACATCAGCACACGTTCTAATGTATGTATTTCTTGCAATAGACTATACAGTATTTTACACTTTTTTTATGCTAATGTGAGAGATTTTACACTTGCTTCTTTATTGTGCTAAAGCTAGAGATTATATTTTATTTCAGTAAATAGTTAAATGGCCCTAATCTGTCAAAAGGCATTAATGAAACATGCTCTTTTCTAATAATTCTTTAACTGATAAAAGTAGTTCAAAGATATTCTAATTTCAAAATTAGTTTTACAGCCCCTAAATCTTGTTATTGTTTTCATGTCGATGTCCCGCCCTCCACCATTTCACCAATCAGAAAGTCTGTGATCCGGGCGCCAGAACTCGCAGGTTGAGCTAATCTCACTGGTAAAGTACCATGTGGCGCAGAACTATGAAGGTCTCGTTATGATTCACAAATCATTAAAGACAAAACAAGAAATAAAAGAGGATTTCTATCTTTGTGAAAAAGGTGTTGGTTAAAAATTTGTTGTCGAAAAAACTCTTGTCTATTCAGCTGTTATGGTCCCAGCTGGATTCGTCTGCATATCTGGCAACCTGAGTCAGCGAGAGTGGGAGAGGCTGCAGTACCACTTTTGGCCAGATTTTTACATACTGCTCCTTTAATGTTCATTTATCTTGTGCCGTGTGCTCCTCATTCCTACTGCTGTAAGTAAGTAAGTAAGTAATCTTTATTTATATACCGCCTTTTCACTGCACATCGGAGTCTCAAAGCGGTTTACAATTGTTATTTTTTGGGAGTGGGGCCAGTACAGGAGGCACATGCCAGACCTATTGTACATATTTTTAGTGGTAGGGGAAACCGGAGCACCCGGAGGAAACCTACGCAGACACAGGGAGAACATGCAAACTCCACTCAGAAAGGCCCTGGTCCAACCGGGATTCGAACCCAGGATCTTCTTGCTGAGAGGCGAGAGTGCTATCCACTCAGCCACCGTGCCACGCTGTGTAAGTGCTGATGCAACACTGACATTTCCTCGCTGTG